CTGCAGCCTGTATCGCCCATTTTTCGCCGCAATTTGTTACTGCTCACCGAATATTCGCCGACTTCTCCACAATCCATTAAGGCTTAGTAACTCCTACTGTACAGTCGTTACTCCAGTTTTTTCTCCACGATTTGTTTTCTCCAAGATTTTCACTTGTGGCTCGGGGACTGCATCATCAATACGACTTGGTTCCTCACCACACTGGGGACTTTCTTCTGTTGACTGTTGTTTTTGACCCTGGCACCACGTGACAACGTCACCTACTGTCAGACTCGGGGACTAAGTGGGCACATTTCACCTTGCGGTAAATGTGCTTTTCTCATCTCGGGGCTACGCTTAGGGACTGGCTGCCTGCTCGGCTGGTCTTCTGCTTTTCTTCTACTTTGGACCCTGGTACCACATGACTGCATCACCTACTATCAGGCTCGGGGACTAAGTGGGCACACTTCACCTTGCGGTGAGTGTGTTTGCTTTCATCTGGAAGACTCCGCACCTAATGAAATTGAAGAAGGCTATTTCCCTTTCTTGTGGTCGGACTCTAAGTGGGCACACTTGGTCCACTACGAGGAAAATTTTGATTTTGAACTTGAGCTCCTTACATCCTTATGGCAAGCCTTACTTGGGATACACTGCTCGGCGATGGTTCACACTGCTCGACGATGGTTCACACTGCTCGGCGACGGTTCACAACTGCTCGGCGATGGTTCACAACTGCTCGGCAACTCATCACAGTGGTCGGACCATGAGTTTGACTGCTTGGCTTTGTTCGCACCTACTCGGACAAGCTCAAGACGGCGTTGCACAACGGATACAAGGTGCTCGGGGACTAGCTGTGGGGGGTACGACCCCCGATACCCATGGCAGGCCATATGGGTTGCGCCCCCAGGGGTGGCCCAGCCCACAAGACAAAGCCTTGCGGAGCACGGCGCTGCTCGGCGCATCCCGCAAGACACCAGAAAGATATCCTGAAGATACTACGAGATCTGTTAGGATACGTATGATCCTATGATTCCTGTAACCTGTTATTACTTTCTGGTTATCTCCTAGATCTAACCGACTTGTAACCCTGCCCCCCGGACTATATAAGGTGGGCAGGGACCCCTCCAAACACATGCAATATCATATGATAGCCAATACAATCCAACAGACCACAGGAGTAGGGTATTACGTCGTGCAGACGGCCAAACCTGTCTAACTCTTGTGTCTTTGTTGCCTTCTTGTTCTCAATTATACGCATCTCTGCCGATCAATCTACCTTCGTGGGGTACCCCTCGGAGGACTATCGACGATATTCTATCGACAGAAACAACGGGTAACTAGCTTTATACCTGATCAAGGTTGGATGCGGCCAAGCGATGAGGAGAGAGACACCGAAACCTTGAGGACTTTGACTCGATCTCCGAACGACCGCAGAACCACGAACCGAGACTAATCCACACACAACGGTGCAGCCTAACTAGAAACCATAGAGCACGAACTAGGGGACCTCAGATTGAGATCTCACAAGCTCAAGAAGAACTCGCAAGAACAAAGGTGTGTAAGACACTCTGCGGCTCAACTGTAATACCGTATCGGGTTCTCAAATGATCAAAAGTCCTTGTCTTGTATCCAATGGTTTCCTAAACGCTAAACAATAAGCAGTCGGTCACCTACCGTTTAGCCATTATTCGAACCCATTAAACGGGCTAAACGTACAATTAAATGGGGTAAACGGATGATTAAATGGAAATAGAGCGTTTACATGGTGTTTAAATGGGCTAAATGGCCGTTTAGGCGAACAATACTTGTAGCATATAGGTGATATTTATACTAGGAACAACCCTCCTTGTTGGTACGAACTGAATTCACCACGTTGGGAGGTGGAAGGCCAACTGGTTGAAGCATTCATGAAGTGGCTAAAAGGTCCTAAATGGCTAGAGGGGGGTGAATAGCCTATAAAAATTTCTACAAATCACTAGAACAAAGGTTAGAAGACAATAAGGCTATAATTGCAAACTTGCGCTAGCTCTAGTGATTGTGTTGCAAGCCACCTACCCAATTCTATTTGCTATGATCTCTATGTATTACACAAAGGCTAAGTCACTGCTTTACACCTAGTGAGCTAATTAGCAAGCTAATTACAATTAATTAAGCTACTCTACTCACTAGCTACAACTAGCACTACACAAGTATACAGGAAAGTAAATACAAGTGCTAGGAATGATATACCGAGCCGGGAAAGAAATCAATCACAATGAATACCAATGAAATCCACGGAGATAATGATGACATAAGATTTTTCCTCCAAGGTTCACTTGCTTGCCGGCAAGCTACGTCCCCGTTGTAGCTATTCACCTAGGTTCACGCACTAATAGGCATCACATGCCTAACCTGCAACCGGGTGCCGCACAACCAACACAAGATGGGGATCCACAAGCTACTATTAATCCACTAGAGTTTTCTTTCGTGATCTCCCACGAGGGAGGCACAAGAACCCCTCATAATCCACCGATCGAAGCTGAAGACAAGCACCACCCACTACTCAACGATCATCGCTGCTCCAAGCCATCTAGGGTGTCGGCAAACACCAAGAGTAACAAGAGAAATCCGCAGTGAAACACAATCACCAAGTGCCTCTAGATGCAATCACTCAAACAATGCACTTGGATGCTTTCCAATCTCACCAAACGATGATTCAATCAAGCAAGATGGGTTAGAGGAATGGCTAGGCTCACAAGGTTGTATTCTCAATAGAAATGGCCAAGAGAGAGCCCAAGCCGGCCAACACATATTTATGGAGGCCCCATCAAAATAGAGCCGATATACCCCTTCATGTGTTGACTCCGTGTTGACCGGACGCGCCTGTCAAGATGACCGGACGCGCTGCACCTTGCGTCTAGTCCTTAGATGTGTGCCACGTGTCACCGCATTGAACTCGGTCGTTCGATCCCAACGGCTAGCTATCCTCGCGCACATGTGTTAAGTAACGACCGACTCGCCCGTGAATGACCGGACGCACCAATCTCGCGTCCGATCTCGCGCACCCACGAGCTCAGCAGCCAATGACCGGACATGACGCAAAACGACCAGATGCACCAAAATGCAGAGTCCAGTCAGGGCGATTTTTACACCGAGAGGTTCTAGAACATGATTTTCATGACCTGACGTGTCCGGTCATAGGTGACCGGGCTCGCTCAGCGTCCGATCTCTCCCTCTCTCGTTCCTAGCGCGCCACGTCACAGCGACCGGACTCGGGAACAGTAACCACGCCGGGTCCGGTCCTCCTTCATCACCAGGGTCCTGTCATCCCGGCCAGAGCAACCGAGCCAGGGGCCGAACACCGGACGTGTCCGGTCCTCCCGTGGATCGCGTCCGGTCACCCTAGTGACCTTTTCCTTCTTCTCCATCTTTCCCACCTTTGCTCCCAAGTGCTAACCACCAAGTGTATCATCGTTGTGCACGTGTGTTAGCATTTTTCACAAAGCATTTTCAAGGGTGTTAGCACTCACTAGAATATAAATGCATATACAATTAGTTAGAACATCTAGTGGCACTTTGATAACCACGTTTCACGAGTTTTACCCTCTTAATAGTACGGCTATCTATCCTAAACCCACTCATACTCACTTGGTGCCTTGAGTGGCAAAACAAAATGCTCTATCAAATATACCTTTACCTTGAGCCATTTTATTTTTCTCTTTCTTCATTTTCAAGTTTAAAGCTTAATCACCATCATCACATGTCCACCAACATCACCATGGACTCCATCTTTGCTCCATCACTTGGTGTATATTAACCTATCTCATATTCACTTAAAGCCAAAGGTTAGTACCTAGGGTTTCATCAATTAGCCAAAACCAAACTAAGGCTTTCAGTGGTCTTCAATTCCCGCGCGTCTCCTGGGCTTCTGCATGCCTTCAATAAAATGGTCATTACTCTCTGCTCGAAAGTCCAAACGAAGAGGCGTTTGTTGGGTTAGAAAGTGGACTTGATAATATTTCCAACAAGTACTTATTTACCTCCAAAGGTTGCGGGATTAATGAATTATGGCTGCTTCTTTTGATTGCCCGAACTGTCAAGGTCAGTCTTGACGGCTTGTTGGTCCGATCCTCATGGTCCCATTGCTGTAGTTCGTCCCCACGTAGAGAAGCATCCTCATCTTTATGTGTATACCTAAGTATACAACTAAAGTATAACACTTAGGTAGTATAATATTCTCATGTATACTGAAGTTAATTTCGGCTAGGAGTGAGTTCACCACTTTTTTGAGTAGTTTTGCACGGTTATGCGTAATTGGCCATTCATACACTTGCTTATGTATAACTTCAGTAACCGGTGGCATGTCCTTGTCAGGAAGGGAGTGGAAAGGTGACTGATGAGAGAAGGTGGTGAAATTAACTTGGAGCTTCGGTGTTACCTAAGAGCACACAAGTTTAAAGGGGGTGAGGTATACAGGGGGTTACCTGAACATGGCTAATGCAGCCAACCAAACAAACACGTTTGCACTTCCCTAACTAGGCTAACAAGTTATGCAGGGAACCAATCACGCGCTTGGTAGTATACAACTCCATATCTAGTTGAACCAAACAACAGCAAATTGCATTGTCTAACGCAGGATAATGGTACACTGCATATGGTATATATGCTATGCAAGTCAGTGCGAGCAACCAATCAGGCCCATAGAGAACACATGCATGTGATAATCTTCAAATGTTATTTACCGTAGCAACACACAGGTGATTTTGCTAGTGACTACACACCAACTAAACAACATAAGCAACCTCACACCAGTCTCCAAATTACAAGCGAGAACATCAATGTTCCTAAACCCGTTACATGAGAATCTGTACATCTTCTAACTGAATTTTCTTCAGACACCGCAATGTGCGTTTGTTACATCTCTTAACAGTTGTCACTTCTATCAACACTTGAAGGCCATCACCAAGCACTAATCAGAGCTCCAAGCTTTATCCATTAACATTTGTTGAAATATGGTCTACAAGAATTGGTTGTGGCAATTGCTATCTCCCAGCAAGGCCAACCGGAATTGATACAGGAGGCTGTTGGTGCTCCGCAAAAGATGGAATGCCATTGTTCATGACCTTAGTTAGCTGATCCGAAGTTCGATTGAGGCTGTTCTGCTGCAGTAATTGAACAAGCGATAAAAATATATCCATTCTCGTCACGTTCTTGTTTGCCTGTAAAACCACCAACACACAAGACTGTCATCCGAGAAGCGCACCATAACAGAAAAAACATCCTAAAATAAGAGTTTCTTTACCTCAACAAGAAATCGAGCCATTATCTTTCCATCACGAAGTTCCATCAGTCCCTTCAAGATTGTAAGTCCAAATCCACGTATGGTGTCAGCTATCTCTAGAAAAAATCCGCGTTCCTCACAAAGCATCTGTTAAATAGCAAATATATCACTTCATATTAACTTCTGCAATGTGTGAAAAGAGCACTAGGTCATCATCCATGATTTGGGAACCATACCTCAACAAGCATCTGACCAGGCGGTGCAAGATCCTCGACAATTATTGGACAAACCATAGTCTGCCCTGCAACCTCATAGGCCCATGTCGCACCTCCATTGCATCCACCACTTGGATCATCTTTCAACACAACTCCATTTGAGTTGTCATTCAAGACAGCACCACTATCCTTGCTTATCATCTATATGAATACAAATGTCAGCACAAGGAATACTAAGATGGAAGTTTCGGTTGTACAAGGTTTAATTATATGCATTCGCCAGCGCGACATACCTTTGGTTCATCGGCTTGCTTAATCTTTTCTGCATACTTTGTCACACTTTGTAGAAAGAGCATATGCTTGATTGTTCGATCCAACAAAGCATCAATGCTACACTGTTGTGCAGAAGGAAATACAAAAACTCAGCTAGAAACCACCAGCTTAAACACAGAGAAAGATATTGTGGTCAATTCTTACCTTTGCACTATTTGGGACTATCTCACGTAACTCCTTTACGCGCTCTTGTATCTGCTGCCGGTCCTTTGGTCTTGGCCGTGTACTTTCACCTGGCCTAGCTCTTTTCTTAACAACCTTCTCTCCTTCAGGCTTGTTTACCTGGCTGACCTTGGAATTTGCCGTGTTCAAACTGCCACAATCATCCATAGATAAATTCTGAAGTGACATTGGGGTTTCTTTTGATGATCCAATTGGAACATTTTCGGATGTACAGCTACTGGAAGGGAGTATCAATGGTGGTACTTGTGCCTTGCACACTGAAAATGAATCTTGAAGGTTGTACCTTGGCAAATGACAGCCTGAGACAAAACCAGCTAACGGTTCAGTGCTATCCATAACTGGGCCAACATTGCCGTCAAAGCCAAGCAGCTCCTCAAACAAAGATTCTGAAAACAAACCTCTCTCTTCAACTGATAATGGATCACTACTTGCCTGTCCTGAAACAGAGTTCATGGCAGTAGCACTCAGATATGAAGTGTTTCCTGCTAGTAGGGCAGTGTCATCCCACCAATCATTCATGACTGGATCAAATGCTGTACTTTCAAGAAAGCCATTATTTTTATTGACTCCTTTTATGACTGGTTTCATTGCCCCTGTGGCGGTTTCTCCCCATATTTCGTTTGGCAATTCATGGAGCTCACAAGCACGAGTAGATCCAGCAGTACCAACCTCTTGGATCACATCACTCTGAACAAATGAAGTGTCATTGTCAAACAAAGTGGATTTCTGCTCAGCATCTGTAGAAACTATTGATGAGTGTGAATCCAGGAAGCTTGATGATTTTTCACTTTGAAGGCAATATCGTAGCTTGTTTGGTGTGCATGACAGCCCGTGCTCTATTCTTTGAAGATTGGTCAAATTTGAAAAACTTGTAGCTGCACTTGCCCAACTAGAACCAGGCTGTTTAGCGGATTTGAATTGTTGAGCACTTTCTGAAATATTATTGTGCCGCAAATTGCTGTCACTTTGAAATACTTTAAGAGTACTTATTGACTTGGAGTTCACTGGCATGGCCACTATGTGAGGATTCAGACCACTGAAACTTTTATTGGATGTGTAACCATTAAAACAATGCAGAGAGTGATTATTTGAAGTAATTGCAAAGTTCTTCAGAGAATCTACGGATATTGCGTTCTCCAGCCTTGAGTTTTCTGGTCCAGCCTTAATACATACAATACCCTCTGTAGTGCTTGGAGAATCGAGTTGAAATTGTGGATTGTACATGAAAGCATCTTTCTGAGCATCTTTGGATGAAGGAGGCCATGAAAGATTTTCCATCAGAAATGTTGCACCTTTAACTTGATCCAGAAACTCTAAGCTTTCAGAAACCTGTAAATGTGAAATTTTGAGTGATTATGAGAATGTATGCACATTATCCCTAGTTAAAAAAAAAAAATTGTTCAGACTGCAGATATGATCGCACATTATAAAAAAAAAATTTAGTAATCATGAGAATGTATGCACATTATGATCGCACAGTTTCTTTATTTCCTAGTGCAGACTGCAGGCAAGACAACATTTTCTCATCATGTGCATTTTCAGAAATTTTGATTATTCATTGTGAAATCATGATTCAAAGTGCAATTTCTCGAGATCTGTTATGAATCTAAAGATAGCATCTTAAGGGAAACTCATACAAAATTGTTCTTGTAACAACCAAAATGAACAGGCTGCATGATAATGGGTAGTCTGTTATGAATCTAAAGATAGCATCTTAAGGGAAACTCATACAAAATTGTTCTTGTAACAACCAAAATGAACACACCATCAACCTGTTCGGTTGGCTGGTTCGTGAAGAAGTACGGCTGGCTGGTTTGTGTGAGAGAAAAAATATTGTTCCGGCTGAAAATTTACGATCGTTTACGATAAGCCACAGCCAAACGAACAGGCTGCATGATAATGGGTAGTCTTTTCTGCTAGAATCATGTGAAAGTTGCTTTAAAAAACTAGAATGCTAACCTTTTGCATGGAACCGAACTGTGCCACACCAAACGCAGGCATAGGTACTACTGCAATAGTCTGTAGAAGATGTGTACTTTTCAGTAATTGGTCAATAGTTTTGTAATATTTTTAAGTAATGAACTGTTTATGTTTACAAGGTAAAAGAAATAGAGCAAAAACCTTTATTCCGCTTAGGAACTGATGTTGCCACCAAGTATAACCCTACAAGAAGGTAACCGTCCTCGGTTAAAACAAGGAAACTTCTTACTTTCTGCAACAAATTAGCCAAACAAAATGTAGACAAACTTGATGCATGGCGATTTATTTTAACAACCTAAGTGTTCATTTGCTCAACAATCATGCATTGGTGTCAAGGCGTTTTCAACATATAAAATATTTAAGGAAAATGGTTATCTTTTCTGCTTATCCGTAATATTTTCTTTTCTTTTTCCACATACTTTTTAGAGTTCCCACATGTGGGGGTATTAGTTAATAACATAAACTAGTAAAAACTGCAGTCTGGAGTGAACCTAATCAAGGGAGAACATGAAAGGAAATATGCACCTGACATAAACCTAGGTTATCTGCATCGCTTATCTGAGACAAACTGAAGGGGATGTCATCTGAAATCCATTGGTACTCCCCACTTATTAGAGCCCTTCCTATGAGGCTGCAATAAAAAGGTGTGACATTGTCAATATGCAGTTGGAACTTTGGAAGTACATCCTCAATAGAGCAGAGAACATTCAAATATCATTCAAAAAAAATCTAGACAAAATAATTGCCCTGATGCAACAGGAAAAAATGTCCAAATAAACCTGGGCTTGTACTATTCAAATTATGCTTAAAAAAGCATATAAACTTGCAGGCACCAAGATATATGAACCAAGAAGACTCGCAAAAGATCAATCGAATCAAGCATGGAAAAATAATTGCCATACCCTTCTCCGACGACATGGATCTGATTGACCATCTTCTCAACCACTTGTCTTGCTTCATCTTCACAGTGGCATTCTCCTACAGTAAGCAACCTAATATGCCAAACCAAGCATCAGTAAACAACTACTGCGCAGATAAACATGACAATAAACGAGAAAAAAAAAGGAAGAAAGTGATTGACCATGGACAACTTTTACCGATGTGCCAAAAAAGAAACAGATATATATGCAAAAGAGGAGACAATCTTTGTGTCATTATTTTTAATGGAGTTCAGAGTCCTTGTGTAGGAAATGGGGGAAAGGAAAAGAGGAACCGTCCACAGCCCAGAGGACCTATACTTTTAAGCGCTGCAACGAGGTAGTAGGTTTGAAGCTGACAGGCAGATGTACCCATAAGCGAGGAAGATACGCGTATGGTATGGTCTCTGCTAACCAAAGCAAGAACGAGCACAGAGGCAGTGGAGTTCATATAGCTTTCCCTTGTTCCATCTCTTGAAGGAAACTGAAAAACGGATCCATTCTACAAAAATAAACTGCAGTGTGCAGGCTTGAGAACTGAGATCCCAATGCGCACTTCCCAGGCTGTACGTCACGCACAAGTTTGGGTACTCGTTATTTAGACAAACATGAAGGGAAACAGAAAAACACTACAAAGTATCACGAAACAAAGTATCACAAAGTATCACAAAAATGCTGCAGGTCCAAACAAAACGAAAACGAAACTGGCCACAGACAGAGTATGCTTCTGTCTCCCTGTCTCCCTCCTCCCGTCTCCGTAGCCAGTGATCCACCGACAAAAGAGGTCTAAAACACGGTAAAAAAAATGACGAAGCGCTCTAGCTTGCGGAACCGTGGACGTTCCGTATTCGTAGCCATGCGCTTAACAGAAGACCAGGGATTAGGAAGGGAGTGCAGTGCAGATCTACTGTCACTCACCGTGGGTCGCGCCGGTCGGGGCGCCAGATCGCGCCGTAGGACCAGCCCCCGGCGCGGCACAGCGCTCCCAGTGCCCCCGCCATCGAGGCAAGCAGCAAGCTACACCACAGGTCGTCTCGAACTCGAAGCAAGCGGCTAGTATAGTAGTCTGCGGGGAGTGCAAGGGTTTAAGCGCGGAGGGCGCGGCGCGATAAATAAGCGGGAGCGATGGGCTGGACGAGAGCCGAGGAGAGGTGGGACGTGGAGGCGTGGGGCAGAGACCGCAGAGTCACAGGATCCCGCGGGGCTCGGGCGCTCGGCCCGTCGGCCGGGTGAGCTGGTGAGGATGAGGATAGGGAGCGGGCGGGTAGGTCTGGTCGTTTTCCCGTGTTTTTGGGGGAAATCGCCAGCCAGCGGAGCAGGACGGTGCCGCCGTGCCGGCCAGTGCGCTTCGGTTTGGCTGGGCACGACTGATCGACTGCCCTGTTCCCTCTGACCCTCGCCGTGTTACAAAGGGAATCGCTGCTGTGTTTTATAGCCGTGTGAGCAAAATACTACTGGTACAACACACAGGGCGCTCAGGTTTCGACCGAAATCTCGCAACTCTGACGAAATTCGTTCAGATTTTTCACATTTCAATCACAAGTTCACAAGTTCCTGCCAGTCCCCTTCGTTACTGTTGTGTCGCTACGGTACGCTGATGCCACCGCAGAAAACCGAAACTTAAACTAGCGATCCCGAAATCTTCGGTGAGCTTAATTGGACGATGCATAACGTAGCCATGATGATTAAAATGGGGAAGTTTTTTTCTCTCTGAAAAGAACAGATCACTGATGTACTATAGGGTCATTAGTAGTAGTATGTGTGCTTATTTACACCCTACAGCCCGGTAGTCGGCTACTTTTCCAAAAAGAACACTGAGTTGATTTCGACAGTCCACCTTGTGTCTCTTTCAGCTTTTTATTCCAAGATCCAGATCGATAGTCCTCTATCCATCTTTTAGTTTGTATATGCGGTTTATAACTCCAAATTTTCAATGGTATTTGGTTATTTAATCTACCTGTGTCTAAGCACGTAGCTACAATTAGTCCTGGTCACCGCCCGGGGTCATTTTCGTTGCCCACACTCAAAGAGATCTGGCGTGGATTATGCAAGGTATAATACGGATTAAGTTGGCATCAACTAGTGGTTAGTGCTAGCCATAGAGACCAAATTAATGTCCGGTACTGCACCATGACGCGTACCTGAGATCAACATGTGGGAAGCAGGTTTGTATCGGCTCCATAGTTAAGTAATGTGGTAAAGCCTGCAAAATAGGAACTGACAGACAGTTAATTAGACACTAGTCAAGCTCAACAGCAAGCGAATATACAACCATAATGTCTTGTCTCATCTGTACAATGGAATGATGGATTAGATAAAAGTAACTGAAACAAGAACATGTTCTATTTTGCATGAGTGATTATTGCGCCATTTAATTTTGTCCCTCCTAGAATTTTCAGACATATATGGAGATTTAAGGCCCCGTTCGGCTTACCTTATAATCTGACTTGTTCGGCTTCTTTTTTCATCCGGAGAGTATTTTTCTCTCACAATAATTCAGCGGGAACAGTGTTTTTCAGCCAAGAGAACGGGTTTACATGCTCTTGATTGTCATCGTCATGACTCATGTACCATTGTTTCAGTTTTTCATGACTAAACATGAAAGGATATAAATCCCTCTATCCCAAAATAAGTCTCACTATAATATTCGTGTCAGTCAAATTTTTTTAAGTTTGAATAAATTTATAAAAAATATTAGCAATATTTATATCTAGAAATAAACTTATTATAAAAATATATTCAATGATCTATCTAATTATATTAATTATGTACTATAAATATTAATACTTTCTTGTATATATTTGATCAAAATTAAAAGTGATGGACTTCTAAAAAAATAAAATGACATTTATTTTAGGATCGAGGAAGTATATATATACGATTAAATAGATACTCCATCCGTCTCACAAAGGATATCGTGGCTAGCTAGGACAAGTACATGGCACGCACAATAGCATCATTTCGTACATAAAATGGCTGCATGTTGTCTATAGGACAAGACTACAAGAGCACATTGCATCCACTACCCCAAAAGAATTCCCATTGTGGCAATGCAAACCCCACGTATTTGTAGGAATCTTGACTAAGATGACGGCTTTAGAAGAAGTTCGTAATGAATGCGCATTCCTACAAATCGATATAGGTACGGCTTAAGGGCACGTACAACCCATGTTTTGATGCCGTCTGCACGCACTAAACGATGCAAATTTGCCTGATTAAATGAAGAAAGAGAAGCTAGCCGTCGTCTGGCGAGGCGCCGGCCGTGGCTCGTGCTCTGACGTGATATCACCGCTCATGCTCTCGTTGTACAGATCCAGTGTGCACATGCTATGGTCAGTGAATGGTGTTCCGAGCCATGACAAGCTAAAATCCACCCATGGCTAGCTGATAATCTTCGGTTGCACGCCTGCTGGTTGCAGTGCCATCCCATCGTCAAATTTAAATGCTTGTGGACTCTCAAATAAAAAAAATACTCTTGTTTGTATTTGATCAACAAACTTTTTATCAAGTTCACTAATATAAAAGTAGAATCTCTCAAACTTTACTTTTGTTTTAGGAGCAAAAAAGTTTATATTATATATATAAATATATTACTGTACTCATGGTTTTAAAAAATATTGTAACCATGATCACCTTATTTATGTCTGATGAATCATATTTACACTTAAACATGGCTACATACAGACATTAAAGAATTAATAGACAGCCAGACAAGCAACCCATTATATACGTTGTCTATTTAGTTGTCTGTACGTGCTGTCACATCATCATACGGGTTGTACATGCCCTAACCGCTTGAACGATGTGCGTGGTAACTGTCCTGTACAAAACATATACCCATACGCATATGTTCTTCCTTTGTTTAAGATGAAAAGAGGGTTTTCTCCGGTCCCAAAGTGGAATTAAGCGACTTTAAATACAGATTTAAGCTTAGTACTACATGTCAGCATCGGTTAGCAGTTAGCACCCATCGTGTTTTGCTATATATAAACTGTAGTATCTAGTATGACCCATGACCCATCCAACATGTCAGCAAAAACTAGACCAACCAAAACCTACTATTACACATGGTCATATGCGTCCTGCTTGTTTGGCTGATAAGTCATAGCTGAAAGTACTGTTAGTTGATTTATTGTGAGAGAAAAATATTGTTCGTTCGCTGAAAAAGTATAGATTATAAGCCAAGTGAACAGGACGATGATTCATAAACCCCGTCCGATTTACCCCATATTCAATTTGTTCGGCTTGTTTTTTCAACCTGAACAATATTTTTCTCTCACAACAATTCAGCCTAAACAATGTTTTCAGCTGGTTTCATCTAGGACTCAGCAAGCCGAACGGGCCCTAAAGTTTGCCAAAAGAATAAGAATTATTGTTCTTCATCTCTCTGTTCCCCGGTCTACGTGAGAGCTGGACCACCAAAGTTTTACAGTACACTGTTGCTCCAAATCTAATGATATGTTTGGCCACCTACGAGGCTACGACCGAGAGGCTACCAAGAGAATATTTCTAGGGTTCCCTTCCTTCCCCGCTGCTTTTGAGGTGATATATGCCTGCGACTTCATGATTGTCCTCCGCATACCCTAACCATTCCACCATCATCTTGCTAGTTGGTTGGTAAGGCAAGAGGGAAAGGATCAGAGAGAGGACGATGCAAATCTTCTTTTCCAGCAAGCGTCCACTAGCTAGCTAGTTGCACCAGGAACGATGGGTGGGATTTTTCTGGTGACATTAACTGATGTAGTCCTTTAACTAACCTAGCGCTCCGGTACGTCTTAGAAACTTATATTTTAGATATTGAAAATGTTGTAGATAAATTTAATACTTACAACTAATGAAAATTGATTATCTTTGCCCCACTTAGATATCTTATAGTCTTTATTTGGTTATGATAAATTTACCGTATACTTTATATGTATTTCATCCATTGTATCGTACCCCTGTCTGTTTTAATATATATTTATTACTTGAAATCTTAGCTTAAGTTATATTAGTTCTTGTTGCATCTATTTCGTGACAATGTGACATCATGAATCTACATATTAGTATTCAACTTTTAATCTTAGTAGCTGTGGCAATATTTTTATCCAAGTGTTAAGTTCAAACTCTAGTGCTCATATATATTTTATCTTTTATTCAAAATCCATTTTACATTTTTTATTAAAAATAAACTATAGGTTCTAAATCCCTTTTACATGTCTTCCTTGTGAAGATTAACATGGACGCACAGTTAGGGACACCTAATTAGTAATGGTAATGTGGTGATTATACTCTATCGAATTGATGGCCAGATACTTTTCTATTTTTTAGAATTTATAGGATTAATCTTTTTTCTCTAGCACAAATCGTGAGGTCTAACGTCTAGTAATAGTACTGTTACTAATTAGCAAAGGTATTTTTTGCAAATATGAATTGGTGATAGAGATTTGAAGCACTAATTAAACTGGGCTAGCTGATTAAAGCTCTAGAGGGAGGCCAATGCCTACAGCAAGACCTTCATCCACCATCAACCGTGGCATATTAAGGGTCATAATATTGCCCCCCATCCCTAGCTCTCCAGGATATACTCTGCCTAGGTCAATGACACTACATACTGAAGCGTCACTTTTGTAAATCAACTCCCACATTTCTCAGGCCAAACCACTTTGTGAAAAGAAGTGAAGAAGACCTGGTAAAAAGCAGTGGCATGTACTACTTCCGTCCTGAAAAGGATGCAATTTTAATTCTGTTTTTAGTTAAAAGATCTAAAGTTTGACTAATTTTATAAAAGAGTATACTAATACTAATACTAATATCTATGTCCCCTTTTTTAATGAAGAATCTAATGATATTTTTAGTATCATAATTAATACTTTTTATATATAAATGTGGTCAAATTCATAATGCTTTTACTTTGTACTATGCAAGAATTGCATTCTTTTTTGGAAGGAGGATGTAGGTTTTAATTTTGTCCATATAATGATAAGCTACTCACTGGATTTTAGATGCATATAAGTAACAG